TGAGACCTCATTTCCACTGTCTGAGTGGCAGGTGATTTAACTCTTATCTCAGTAATGCTTCTCTCTTATAGTCTAACGAGAGGTCATCTTATTTCCCCTAAATAAAAGTGAGATCTCAACTTCCAAAGTCAGTCAGTAGGACATGGCCTCAGGGGCCTGAGAACCTCCTCCCTAATGCAAACAGCTCTCACCTTGAGGCTCTGCCCTCTGTCAGAGCCTCTAAACTGGAGTAAGAACAATGTGGCCTATGAGAAAGGACCTGTGTTCTAACATCTACTCTTTAACCACAGGAAGGAGTCTCCTTTCTCAGTAATATGCACCTGATCCCACACAACGGCCAATAGAACAGGGAAGGCATAAGAAATACATAACTGAATATACAAGATAGCTAACATGAAGAATGAACATAATCTCTGGCCATGATTAACATCCAAGGTTCCTCATTAATCTGTAAGAACACTTAATTTCCAAATTTACATCTTTAGTGAACAATTTAAACCAGTGCTCAGCCTTCAAAGAGTAAATACCTCAAATTCTTTTACATGACTGTAACTCTTTTGTAATTCTCGTTTACATGACTCTCAAATTCTTTTTTTTTTTTTTTTTTTTTTTTTTTTTTTTTTTTTTGAGACAGGGTTTCTCTGTGTAGCTTTGCGCCTTTCCTGGACCTCACTTGGTAGCCCAGGCTGGCCTCAAACTCACAGAGCTCTGCCTGGCTCTGCCTCCCAAGTGCTGGGATTAAAGGCGTGCGCCACCAACAAATTCTTTTTACATACATGCCTTCTACTGTTAAGAACTAACAAGTTGTGACTTAAAAATCCGTATGCTAGCAGAACCTCATGATGAAGGCTTATAGGCCCAGCTATTCAGGAGGCTGCAGCAAGGGGAGGATCACAGGTTCAAATCCTGCCTGGCTACAGAATGAGTTCAAGGCCAGAAAGGGGGAGGGAGATTACAACTACTGGAGGACCATGAGATTTTTATCTCTGTATGTCATAAGTCAGCCCCTCCTCTACCTGAACGGAAAAGGAGAACTTAAGCCAACTTCAGGGTTCTTCTCAGCAATCTGGGAGCTCTCATCTGAATCACAAAAGTATGTTTCTTCTCTGCATCACAGTCCCTCTTTCTCAACCTTTATGTCAGTAAGTCTCGCCTTCCCCATAGGAAGGTTAGATTGTCCTTTCCTCACCAACATGAGAGTTAATAGGTTAACAGGTTTCAGCTTAACCACTGAGTATTAGAAGGCCTCCCATACTGTAAATGGGTGCCAGGTTTTACCTGAGAAGCATCCCCAAAGGCTTGGGAAATGGCCAAGAAGTGGAGCGCAGCAAGATGGATCAGCAGGGAAAGGTACCTACCACCACGCCTGATGATCCGAGTTCAATCCCAGGGACCCACATGGTGGTAGGAGAGAACCAACAGCCCCAAGTTGTCTTCTGACCCCCACACATACAACACGCACACAAGCTCACACGCATACACACAAAATAAACAAAAGTGCAATAATATGTTTTGCAAACAAGAAATGACGCCAGGCAATGCTGGCACATGCCTTTAATCCCAGCACTCAGAAGGCAGAGGCAGGCAGGTCTCTGAGATCGAGGCCAGCCTGGTCTACAGAGTGAGTTCCAGGACAGCCAGGGCTACACAGAGAAACCCTGTCTCAAAAAAAACAAAACAAAACAAAAGAATGAACTCATTAGTATAGCAAATAACAAATCAGTATAATAATAATAGTAATAATAATAATAATTTTAAAAGTTTAACAAAATAAAAGGTTACTCAGGCATTTTAAAATAATTTTAATGAGTATAAAGTTGCAATTATCACAAACACTTAGAAACTGTTTTTGCTTTGGGCCCATGAGTAACTAAAAGCAGAATGGAAGCCTAGCATCTCTGCCTTCATTTTCTATGTGTTTACTTTGCTTTTGTTTCTAGGTGTTTACTCCTGCCTGACTCTACCCAGAGTGGTGTGTGTGTGTGTGTGTGTGTGTGTGTGTGTGTGTGTGTGTGTGCGCGTGCGCGTGCGCGCGCGCTATATTCCCACGTGTATGAGAACTCGAATGCCCCAGTACATGTGTGAATATCAGAGAACAATCTGGGGCACCAATCCTTGCCTTACCTTGTCGAAGAATCCTTTTGTTGTTTGTCACTGTGTATGCTGGGGAACCGGCCAGCCAACGAGCTTCTGGGAACCTGCCCCTGCCTCCCATTTCTCATTCTAGAAGCACTGAGATTACAAGCACACGCTACAGCGCCAGCTCTGTATGGGTTCTGGAGGTTGGAATTCAGGTCTCCCTGCTTGCATGGCATAAACTTGACCCACGGACTGACTCATCTTCCCAGCCTTTTACTATCAGTTTTATATTATCTTGCTCCAGACCCCCCCAAAAAAAAGGCCCTTGAAGGTCTCCAGTCATTGTTTTAAACCTACAGCCACCTTGGATGCCTCATACAGCAGAGCCCTGCAGAAAGATCACTCACCAAAGGAAGACATTTATCTGTGACAGTAAGACTGGTTCCTAAGGCGGGAATAATCACTGTATTATGAGAATCTTTACATTGCTTCCATCAAGCAGTTAAGTACTTCTTTGTCTCCTGAGAAGACTTAAGTTTGAGACAATGATCCAGTAGATAACCCAGACTTGAGCTGGCCTGCTTCCTATACATACCTCTTGCCTCCTGCCCTACATAAACTTAAAGTTCATGTCAGAGCCCCAAAGAGACTTGGTTCCTCTTCCCGATATGCCACTGGTTTCTCTGCCTTCCATCACTGCTCATCTCTCCTGTTGGTTTATCGGGTCAAGTGGCCCAACACTGCCTGATGGGGCTCCCAGAGATGGGGTGTCTGTTCTATATTTAAACCCAGAATTATCTAAAAGGAATTTTTCACTCTAAGTGTTTATGTGTGATTTTATGGTGTCACAGTCTTGATGACTATTTGAATGTATGACGAATGTGTTGAATATAAGCTTTAAAACCAAAGGTAGTTACCTAGTTAAAAATATTTAGGAAGTTGGCCAGGTAGTGATAGTGCATACCCTTAACCCCAGCACTTGGGAGGCAGGGGCAGACAGAGCTCTGTGAGTTGGAGGCCAGCCTGGTCTACAAAGTGAGTTCCAGGACAGCCAGGACTACACAGAGAAACCCTGTCTCGAAAACCAAATATGTATGTGTGTACATATGTACATACATATGTATGTATGTAACATAACACACACACACACACACACACACACACACACACACACACACACACACACACACGGTAAGTATGTAAGGACTGAGTCTGGAGATCTAGTGTCGACATTCTAGATGATTACAAGAAGTCACTGCAGAGTGAGCCCACTCCAATTCTAGAACAGGCTCTAAGCCTGGTCCCTGCCCTGGGGTTACAATGTTAAGTGAGGTGCACTGCCCAGCCAGGTCTAAGTCTGTCATTAAGCTTCAAGGAAGCACAGGCATTTCGAGGATGACTTTAGGACACCAGACCTTCATCTGCTCCTTGAAGCCACTGGGCCACCTTCTTGCCCTGGGTAAAGAGGCCTGGGGCCTACCCCCCCCCTTGCCCCCCAATTTCCTAACCAGCTCCTCCCTAGCCCCACCCTTGACTCCGAGATAACTTCAGAATCTGTCATCTGTGTTCCTAACGCCTGAGCCTCTAACCCACTTGCCTCTCTGGAGCGCCTCCCTGCAGGCATGTTCCATCTCTTGATCCCTCCAAGATCGCTCCAACGTCTTGCTGAGTAGGAATCTGTCTGCCTGTTCACCTGACTGTGCTCCTGGCTAGACACCTGTCTCAATGCCACAGAGTGTGGGCGCCCCGCTATGTGACTGGCCAGTGACAGCTGGCCTGTAACGTGCCTGCAAACGTGCTCTTGAAGGTCAAATCTGTGTTTAGGGCACGACTCAGGGTACCAGGAAAAGGTAAACATCACAGCCTTGAGAAGCTTGCTCTGGCCTTTGAGGGGGGACAACCCAAGGTTAAGAAGCGCCAATTTTCTCTCATTTGAGACAGCACCGGGGGCTGCGAGGATCCAACCTGAACTCTGGAAAAAGCAGAACACGGGGAGTCCCCACGAAGAAGGGATGTGGACCACAGCCCCGGAGGGTGGCAAAGGGTGGGCAATCTAGGCAGGAAGCGGAAGTGAGCAGACAACGAGCCTTGAAGTGCCACCACAGTAGTCTAGGACTACAGGTCCTGATGCTGGGAGCATCATCAGGTAGGCCTGTGCCAGGCAAGAGAAAGTATAGGAAAGGTGAGCAGGGCATTAGGGGGCCTTCACTAGCTGCGTTTGCCATCTGGCGGTGCTGGGGACAGAAGGTAGGAATGGAGATAGAAACCACTGCATCAACCCTGAGGGAAGTGAGGCCAAACACGGTCAGCAGCCAAGGATCAGCACAGTGGAGAGGGACATGGAGTTTAAAATTCAAAGTAGATTTTATAAAACGACTAGACACTGGAAGGTTTTAAATCTTAGGTTTAAAAGTGGGGTGGCTGCACTGTTCAGTGGTAAAGTACCGGCCTGGGTTCCGTCCCCAGCACCAGAAGAAGAAGAAGAAGAAGAAGAAAAAAAAAGACGGTGATCTCGGAGGACCACAGGTCTAGAGGTGGTCACCCAGGGCTGCAGAGATGGCTCTGCCATCAAGAGCACTTGCTGCTCTTGCAGAGGATCGGAGTTTGGTCCTCAGCACCCACATCAGAGAGCTCACGACGGCCTAAGTGCCAGCTGGCTTCCAAGGGCACCCTCGCTCAGGTGGCATGCACTTACACAGACACAGACAGACATAAAAATGAATGGTTTTCTTAAATGCTACCCAGTGAGGTGTTAGTCTGCAGAAGGCCTCAGCCAGGGTCTAGCAGTCTAGGTCGGTCTAACAGGAAGGATTACAAGCAGGATTACTCCAAAGATACTGCTGAGTCAGCAGCACACTGGGTCAAGGCCGTGGGCTTGTGTGACCTGTCTGAGGAACCCTAAGCAAGCAACTGAGACATGGTTTCATTTCTTATAAATTTATTACATAATATTATAATAATTATTATTAATAATAATAATATAAGAAACATAGATCTCTGTGGGGTGTATCACAACGTCAGGGTCAGGAGGCCTCAGGACTGGAGCAGGGGGGTGAAAGCCCCCAGATGGAACTCCATACAAAAGGAAGGATGAAGCAGAACTGACCCTGTCAAGTTAAAAACCCAAATTGAACAGAACCAAAAACCCACAGGTAAATGTGAGACTGTGTCGTATGTGGCAGTCTGTTACAGTGACTGCTGCTGCTGTGTGTGTGTGTGTGTGTGTGTGTGTGACCTGGTCTGTTGGTGAGAGGGTTAGTGGGTGTGACTCTGTCTAGGGAACGGGGCAGGTGGGCCTGCACAGACCGGCGTGCCGAGCCCCTGGGCCATGAAAACCTCTGTTTTCTGTCTTTTTTATTTTTTTTTTATTAAAAAAAGCTAGAAATAGAAACAGAAACTTGTGAGTGACGTGGATGGAGCTTAGTCCAGACTCCAAACCCTATGTTTAAAAATGCCCCAGGGCCCCCCACCCCACAGGTCATTGCTGAGTGTGAGGAGTCACAGTAGGGGGGCCAGGGTACCCTCAGGAGTCTTCGCCTCTCTCCAAGGGCTGTTGTGGCCTGATTTTTTTTTTTAGTGGTCCCCACAATCCCTTTAGAAGCCCAAAGGGGGCGCTGTCTGCAGGGGGGCCCTCGAGGCCTCCTGAAGCTGAAAGGATTCACCAAGAAACCCTGCTTAAGCTGGGAGAGGCTCAGGGAGAACAGGCTGAGAAGACAGCACGACCCAAGAGCAGCCTTTCTTTGGAGAAGACAGGGCACTTTCAGGGGTACACACCCAAGCATGCACCCTGTGCAAGCTTCCATAACCTCCCACCCATCCAGAACAGCCCCCCCCGCCCCGGGGACCACTCCACAACCAGGCACACACAGGGCACCCATGCGCTCAGCCACACCCAGTTTTCACAAGCACACAGGCGTGCACACACATAATGTGGCACACACACAGGGCAGGAACGGGGAGTCTTTGGGGTGCGAGGCAGGGAGGCTTCTCTGCTGTAGTTGCCCAAGAAGTGGGAAGGTTAGACCCCTCCTTTGGGAGAGACCCTGTGAAATGATGGCTGGGGTTGGGATACCGGGGGCCCAGCCCCAGGGCAATAATCTCCCAGGCCACCTGGCCCTGCTAGTGCCCAGCAGGCAATGCCTGCCACCCTCCCCCCGAGCAGCACCTAAAGGGTGGGTGGGGCAGACTATAGCTCAGCGAGGGAAGGGGGGCTGAGCCGGGGTCCCCAGGGTGGGCTGCCAGGACCCTGGCTAACCCCAGGCCAGCTGGAGTGTCCCCTGCCCTGTATGGGGTGGCAGTGAGGGGCCGGAGATGGAAGACTGGGCAGCTGTGGCGGGACCAGCGAGAGGACTAGAGGGCAAGAGGGTGAGAACTGTTACGGACAGAGATATTTGTTCCTTTTCTCGTTCCAAATATAGAGTGGATTAAAATATGTAAAACAGGGGGCTCCTTGGCCCCCATCGAGAACCCCAATGTCTCCCCCCTCCCCCCAGTCACCAAGGCGTGTCCTGACCTCGCATGCTGGACTAGGTTCCCCCTCCGGGAGAATGGCCACCAGGAGCTGTGAAGGAGGTGGTCAGGCCAGAGCACCCTGCCCTAACCCCCTTCCACCCAGCCCCCCTGGTCCGCGCCCTTACTGTGTGCTGGGTGGGGTTCAGCGGCAGGGGAGGGCACTAAGCAATGTACAGGGCAAGTCTCCAAGCAACAGCAAACAGGACGATTCATGCAACATTCCTGGCCCGGGCGCCGTGGTAGGGGGCGAGCCGAGCCTGCGGCCTGGAGTAGGGGTTGGGGGCCCTGCCGGCAGGGCGCAGCAGGAACGGGAGAGGGAGTGGGACGTCAGCTGCCATCCAGCTGCCTGAGCGCACGCTCGATGTTCATGCGGTGGCCAACGCGTGTGACGCCCAGCTCCACGAAGTCGTCCTTGGTGAGCGCGGGCAGGTGTGCGCCTTCGATCTCATGGTCCTCGAAGCGGTCTCGGTGCTCGCCTAAGTGGATGCTCTCCAACCAGTCGCCCACATCGAACTTGCTCCAGAGCTGCAGGGGCTTCTGCTGGAATGGCCTCCGCGGGCCGGCACTGGGGCCAGAGCCGGGAGAAGGCGAGGGCAGCGGAGATGGCGAGGGGGAGCGGCTGCGCGCACTCACACTTCGCACCACGAAGCGCACTTCCTTGGGTTCGTGCGGGATGGAGAGGCTGGACGACTTGAGGATGGTGGGAGGCGTGAGGCCGAAGGGCCGCCCCACGCCTCCCACGCCCGCCCCTAGCCCCTCCACCCGCTCCAGCGACGCGGGCTTCACTGGGCTGGGAGCTCTTCTCGCCACGGGGTACCGGCCGCTGGGCCGCACCGAGTAGGAGGCCCCTCCGCCCGGGCCCCCGGGGCTGCGCTGCGCTGAGATGTTGCTCAGCTCACCGAGGCTGCTGAAGAGCCTGCGGAGGGAGAGTGGGTGAGGGCCAGGTGAGGGGTGGAAAGTCAAGTCGGGGTGGACAGAGGGGAGCAGAGCCAGGAGGACTGGGGCTGCAGGAATATCCTGTGGTCACTCGTTTTTTTTAAAACATCAAAAACAAATAAACATCCTGGACTGTGCCTTGCTCTGGGGGATTCTTTGACTGAACGGACTCTAAGGAGTAAACTAGTCCCCCACACAGCTCTCCACGGAGGCCCCACGGGCAGTTCACCGAAGGAAAGAGTTTCTCATGGACAAGAAAAGCTGCCGCTTGCCCCTCACTGCCAGCCTCTAACACGGCCTCTGGGTATGGGTTCCAGCCACAGATGCTCTGGACTGTAAGGTTATACCAGTACCTTGACCCCTACACCTCCCCACATCCAACCCTGTTCTCAAGCTCGAACGGACCCAGAAAAACCTAAGCCAGTTTCAGGGACAGCCGGAGTCATGGTAGAGGCTGGCAGCGGCACAAGGGCCAAACAGGTCCATGACGAACACTGGAGACGAACATCGGGTAGGGCTCACACCCACAAGAGGCTAAGGCGACAGCACACCATAACGGGAAGGCAGTCTCCCTGCACAGAAGAGCAACACCACAGCAGCAATGGGGACCACGTGTTGCTGCAGACACGCAGCAACAGTGACAGAGATGCGCTAGCAGAGAGACAGACACACACGGCAAATGCTACGTCCTCAAGTCCCAGCCTCGCCTGGCAGGATCCGGGACTTCCAGCCCTGCCCCAGGGGCCTGCCCGGCTGGAGGGAGGAAGGAAGCCTACGCCCACGGCCCCTCTGCCCCTTACTATGGCCAAGGATAGTCTCAGTCGCCGTCCGTAGCACCCAAGCCCCACACAGCCATGCAGAGCAGCCAGGGGGCAGCCAGGCACACAGCATGTGGACTGCGAGAGGCATGGGATGGGCATGCTCACTTACACAGCCGGCACTCGGGACCACCGCGCAGCTAGACAGCGCAGCCACATGCAGATGGGCGGGAAAGAGCAGTGAGAGAGAGAGTGTTAGCAGGCCAGGCCCACAACGCGCCTTCGGTCACAATCACACAACGGGACCCCTGTGGGACGCTCTATGGAGGTTGGAACTCAGAAAGTACGGCCCATCTACTTGAGAGGTACTGGGGAAGAGAAAACACCTAGGCTAGAAGACATCTGATTTGCCTGCTCTGGGGTAGCAGCTCTCTGGCTCTCTCCGTGTCCCTTAGCAGTGCCTTGCAGTCTGTCAGTCTTTCTGCTGTCTGACCAGCCTCTCTCCAGCTGCCATCTCACCCGCCCCACCCCACCCCCACAATGCCTTCTCTCTCAAGCTGGCCCAAGTTCCTGCCTATTCCACACCAGCCAGAGTCCCCTCAACGCTTCTATCTCCTAGTTATAGTTCAACTATGCAATATCCCCCTAAATAAGGCTTGCGTTTTGAAGGTAGAGTGGTGGGTCCAATCATTGGGACGTAACTGGATCATGAGGGCTCTGTCCTAATCAATGAATTTAGACACCGATGGGGGCCGGGTACGGTGGTGGCACACACCTTTAATCCCAGCACTCAGGAGGCAGAGGCGGGCAGATCTCTGTGAGTTTGAGGCCAGCCTGATCTACAGAGCAAACTCCAGACCAGCCAAGGAGGCTACATGTTGAGACTTTGCCCCCCTCCAAAAAAGAGAAACAAGCAAACAAACAAACAAAAAACAATAATGATCACAAAACACACTGATGAATTAATAATTTGATGATCTTATTCCTTCCCCTTCCTTTCCCTTCATTCTTCCTGGCTGCCATGAAATGATTCACTCCATCCACGCTCCCATTGATGCTCTCCACAGCAATGGGGCCAAGAAACCATGAGCTGAAATCACTGGGAACTATATACCAAAATACATCTTTCCTCCTCAAGTTGTTCTTGTGAGGTAAGAAAAAAAAATCTCTCACAGGGAAGAGAAAGCTAACTAACATGTTCCCTTGAAGCAACTTTCAACGTCTACCTCGCATGGATTGCTCCTTCCCTGGAGACCTCATCTGCATCCCTTTCATTGCTTTCTCCTCAGGCTGGCCCTGTGGCTTCCTCCCAACTGCTCAGACCCAGCCAGGGCAGAGCTTCTTGAAAAAGCCAGACAGTGCCCCCAACACAGAGATTCCAAGAACATCGGAGGGAACAGGCAGAGCCCCCCGGAAAGGAAACCTTCACGCCTATGGAACCTGGCCTCATTGAGACACCCTTGGCTTCGGGGGCAAAGTGGGGAGGCAACAGAGGTGAGGTGGTGGGGTCCCCTGAGAGGTGGCGCTAGAGACATAGCTATGAAGTCAGACTGTGGTCACACACAGAGTACAATGAAGCTAGGAATGTTACCTTGTCTGTTTCTTCCCCAGAATTCATGCTGACCCTAGCCCAGGGAATCTGTGTCGGAACAGACATCTCCGCAAGACCTCCCCCAAGGGTTAGGCTTCATTCAGCAGCACACCGCTGCACTGGAGGGTTACAGAACAGCTGGGAGGCAGTGCAGTGGTAGCTTCAAGCAGAGCTCAGAGAGAGTCTGGGTCCCACAGGTCTAAGCTGGGTCAAGTAGCTATACCTGTCTGGATAGCATCATGCCTTCCTGGCGGGGGTGACCTGGAGGCCTGGGCTGAGGGCAAACTGGCTTCAGAGGTGCCCAGGGTCCGGAAACAAGTGTCTGTAGCCAGTGGACTGGGAGTAGAGAGAGAAGGCCAGTCATATACCTCAACAACCTCCACCAGTGTTGGAGATGTTGGGAGGCCTAGAAGAAAAGCCCAAGGAGGGGTATGTACAGGAAGGAGTAGCCAAAGGATTAGTGTCTGTTCCCTGCCCACCTCTTGGGGCAGAGTACTACCCACCTTGTCCCCCCAGGGCAGAAACCCCAGCAGTGTGCAAATCTGATTTTAACATGTTTACACACATCTCTGCATACCTATCTCTGGCTATTGCCACTAATAGCTGGCTGACTGACCACCTGATCATCAGACTTCGTCCACTACAAGGTCACCTCACAGCATCTGCTACCCTCCCAAGTGCTCCTGGCTGGCCCAGCCTCCAAGATCTTGGCCCCAGGAACTCCTAGGCAGTGAAATCTGGCATTTGCTCCTGGCCATCACCAAGGCTGTAGGCAGGGCCCCCTGGCTGACCTGGTCATCTGTTTCCTTGGAGGAACCCTTCCCTCTGCCTCTTCCGTCCTGGATGGATCTTCTAGCCCACACTCTGTCGTAATCTGTACTTTCTGAGGCCATATCATCTACCCCCATTCTTTGCTATGACTCATAAGCCTAGGAATGCCATATGTGAGAACCCATCAGTTTCTTCTGAGCTCAGGGTTTCTACTGGGATCTCCTAATACCTCTTAACACACGGGCTGCCCAACCCTGCCTCAGTGGACAGCGCCCGTATGAGAGAGACCTGGGAGCTGCTCTACCTTTTTAACCTTCGGCAAATGTCACCAATTCCTCCCATTAACCCAGGTCTTCCTCATCAGTGGCGTCCAGGCCACTCACAGTTCCAGGTCCTTTCGCCATCCACCCTCCCTTCCTTTCACCTATCTCTCCCTCCCCTTCCCCTCCCCTTCTCCCTTTCTCTCTGCTAGGGGTAAAAAAGGCCTCATGCATACCAGGCAAGCCCTCTGCCACTGAGCTACATACGTCCCAGCTCCTTCGCAGCTTTCCTCGACCCCTGGAACCTGGCACAAACTCGGGACTCTAACACACCTTGACAAAAAGACGTCGTCCTACAGAAACACCACAGCGTCTTCCTCCTGAGACTGTCTTACCCTCTGTCATCCCACTGGTACCAACCGGCAAGAAAAGGTTCATCCTCAGGCCTACCGCCTTTGTACTCCTGTGGGTCAGGTCTAGGCCTGTGGCCTTTGGCCATTTGGGGGCCTCATGACAGGATGATTCGCAGTAGGAACACAGACCAAGCGGGGCTCTGAAGATTCTCCAGGAGTCCTCTCCGCTGCCTTGGCCTCACGCCTCACTGCCTGGCCTGTCCAGTGTCCCTAGATCTTCTCTTACTACCTCTTTCTGTACCCTAGCAGAGTTTGGGACTTTTGAGAATGCATCTGCATGGGACCTCATGCATTTGATCCGCGGGGACACAATGCATCCTGCCCCCCCCCACTCCCCATATCCAACTGGTATCAAGAACCTTCACGTATGATTGCCCCAGCACACAGATTTTGTCCATACCCTTAACACGCAGGCAAGGGCCTATATCAAAGAGACAGGGCTTTGTGGAGCAACCTGATTGGAAAATGGGTCTCCTGGGAGATCTCATGAGTGACCTCAACAGGTCTAAAGAACAGGGCGCACTTTGACCACCCACACACAAGCACTGGGGGGGGAGGGGACCACTGAAAAGTACTACAGCAAATACTTCCAAAGCTATTTCACCTGCTTAAAAACAAAAACAAAAACAGATGTGAGGACCAGCCAGGTATAAAATGGAGTCAGCCCACACCTGTGATTCCAGCACTTGGGAAGCAAAAGGGGGGGGGGGAATCTTTGGCTTAAGGCCAAATATGGCTACACAGTGAGCTCAATACCCGCCTAAGCTATATAGAAAGACTCTATCTCAGGTGAGACAGCTCAGTAGGTAACGGCACCTGCAGCCAAGCCTGACGACCTGAGTTCAATCCCCGGCACCCACAAAGGGCAAAGACAATACTGACTCCCACAAGCTGTCCTCTGACTTCCACATGTATACCACAAAATGTGTACACATGCACACACACACACACACATACAATAAATAAATAAATGTACAAAGAAAAAAAGAGAAGAAAAAAGGTCCCATATCTCAATAAAAACAAAGCAGGGGGTGTAGCTGGATGGTCCACCATCTGCCTAGTATGCACAAGACCCTGAATTCAGCATCAACCAGCATCAACCCCTCCCTAGAAAGCCAAGGCAAAACAGCATAAGATTAAAGTCCAAACATGAGACCCGGAAGACAAGTGGAGCTTGGAGACGGGTGTAGGTCTCAAGATAGGTAGGTGGAGCTCTACAGCCAGCTGTGGAGCCCAAAGCTGGGTTTTAAACAATGAACAAACAGCATGCAGCCTAAGTCTGGCCCTCTCAGACATAAGGCTCCGTCCAGTGAAGGCCGGAACTGCCACCTGAGGCGAAGGACAGCTGGGAACACAGACCTCAGCAGCAGGACCGAGAACAACGTACCTTCCTAGCTTCGACCCCCAAACCAACCATGGGCCGAGTGTAAATGGGCTGATCTACAAGTTACTGTGCTTTCGTCCCATGATACACAGGAACGTTTAACTTGTTTTCAACAAGCTCAGGCTGTTGAGCACCTGCGGCCAGACTGTATCATTGCCTGGACTGAGCCATCTGCAGAGAAGGTTGGCAAAAAAAAAAAAAAAAAAAGGGTCCTTTCCCTTTTGGTGGAACCCATCAAGAGACAGATGAGCCTGGTAGGTAAAACTCGGGAACCATGCACAGACCAAAGATGTGGCTCAAGGGTGTGACCTCTGCCAGGACAGATCCTGAGAAGGACACAGTCACACCCAGACATCAGAACGTCACACACTTTAGACACTTCTCTAAGAGAAAGGTTCGTTTAGTGACTTTATCCCAAAGTCAGACAAGATTCTAGCCCCCACTGGCTACAAGGCCAGTGCTGAGGTATAGCCCCAACAGACATCAAAGCCAGAGTGTCCACAGAGACCAGACAAAAGACCAGGTCTGAAATAAGCTAGAAGTACACAAAGTCACAAGTGCCCCATGCCTGTGGCCAGAAAAGAGAGCTCTATGGTAGGCAGGAGGACACACTCCAGATGACCGTTGTTACACCCAGGGATGATGATGTGATCGCTCACACTGAGGAGACAGAGAGGTAGGAGGATCAAAGCCAGCTCACACTGCAAAGCAAGACCCTGTCTCCAAAACCAAAACCAAAAATAAAGAGCCCCAAAGGGAGGAGAAAAGTGAGTGGGAACAGAATGGAATACAGAGGCAAATGGAGGAACACAGGGTACAAGGTGGTTTAGCAACGCTAAGCTGACTGAACGAACGCTCGGTATAATTTATTACTTATACATCTAAGAGATGCCGTGAGTAACAGCTATACAGCAAAAGTCTACCTCTGCAGTGTGAAATTACTGAGTACAAACTCAATGTGTGGCAGAAGGTGCTACTAGAAACCCAAGAAATCTTTGTCCATCTGTCCTTCCATGAAATTTGCCTTAGGACACCCTTTTGGATTTCAAGTAACAATGTAACACTTGCATTAAGCTTCCTTCTTTTACTGGTTTAATACGCGTTTATTGAGGCCCTAAAATGGGCTAAGCAGTATGCTATGTACAACTTTCATCAAGAAAAGAGGCAGAGCTGGGCAGTGGTGGTGCACGCCTTGAACCCCAGCACTTGGGAGGCAAGGCAAGCAGTGAGTTCCAGGCTAGCCTGGTCTACAGAGTGAGTTCCAGGATAGCCAGGACTGTTTCACAGAGAAACCCTGTCTCGAAAACAAACAAAAAAAGAGGCAGAAAGAAACAGAAGGGCTGGTGGTGGGCAGAAAGACAAAGGAGGAAGAGAAGGTCCAGCTGAGGCTGTATCAGGACACCTCTATCTTGGAGGATCCAGTTGTAGACAAACCTGGGGCCTCAGCCCTCATCCTGACAGGTCCACAGCCACTGCTGCCCACTCTAAGGGTGCCTCCATCACTGAATTACTGAGAAGGGCTTTTAAATTTGGCTGAGAGAAGAGGCCAAAAGGGGAGAGAGCTGAGAACAAGCCCCTAGAATGTCAGGAACATCCCTGAACCTCTCTAGAGAGGCAATGGGAACTTCATTCATCTTTGGGACCCTAAATGGGAAGAATGTAAAACGAGAAGGCCCTTTGCATAAGACCTGCCGTTCTTAAGCTGTGCCCTGCTCGCTACTTTGTGAACCCTGTCTTCCACAACTGACAGCGGGGCGCACCTGAGAGGCAAGGAGTGGGCAATCAGGAGGTGGCCTCCCACCCAAACCCAGCACCGGGGAACCTTGGCGAAGAGGCAGAAGCAGCTGGAGAAACCCAGACAAGAGGTTGGCAGCTGGCACCAGAACCCATGCAGTCCACATGGGAGCCCCAGGGAAGGTTCCCGAGAAAGGATCTGAAGGACCGACACAGGGCTCTTGCAGCCCCTACCTACAAAATGTGAGCAACAACCTTAGCAGCACTCAGACCCCAGATCAGCACCTCCCCCAGCACCCAGCACCCAGCACCACTTCGGGGAGGGGACAGACAGGGCAAGAAAGGAGAAAAGCCCCTAGAGGAGATGGTGCGATTTCCAACTCTTCTTGATGGAGCATTCTAAATCACATCCAGGATTCTGTGTAAGGGTCCTACAAGGAGGTGCCCCAAGACACACGTTTCTAGGGCAGAACGCAAGGCATTTATTTGTATCAAGTCCCTAAAGAAAAAGAACCAATGCACTTTGGCCTGAAAAGGAAGCAAGGCAGAAGGCTGCTCCGGGAGAGGTGACCCCAGCCATATGGGCAGCCCTCGTATCAGAAAGAGAAACAAAATGGATCCATGAGGCAGTCAACTCCAGGCCAAAGAGCTGCTGCGAAGGAAGAAGCCCAGAAGCCCCGCTCCAGAGTACAACCTGAAAAGATCCTGAATGGCAGAGGCCTCTTGAGTCAGAAGCCAGAGTACAAAGTTGCAAACGTGTAGTAGCAGAGCCCCCAGCAGGCCCTGGGCGGTCTCATGACATACTTAAGTCTCGGAGGTACCCAGTCCCACTGCCTGCATCTGAAGCTGTCCTAAAGAACCTTCTACCTCAGACAGCAAAGCAGGACCAGACAAAGATAAAGAGGTGGGTAGGGGGGGACCCGTGCCAGGGACAGATGAGAGAGAGGACAGAATGAGGAAGAACAGAGGGAAGCCTGCAGATGGACAAAAGGAACAAAGACAGGGGGGGACGGCCCCTCCCCACATCCCCCTGCTCACCGAGCTGCTGCAATGGGCGACTTCTTAGCAGGGTCCAGCAGGCTGCCCAGGCCACCAACTGGTTCCTCCCCCAGGGAGCGCGTGTCTTTGTTCAGCTGCTGCAGGCGGGAGCTGAGCTCACTGATCACAGTTGGCTTGTCGTCTTCAGGCCCCGGGAGCCCCCGACTCTCCACGGGGTCCCCCCACAGCTTGGACCTTCTCTGGAAGAGGTAGCGAGGGCGGGCGGGCCCAGCAGCAGAAGCCAGCCCGGTAGAGGCAGCGTGGTGCTGCTGGGCCATGAGCTCACTGTCCGAGGATTGCTTCAGCAGCGGGTCCCGGAAGGTCACCGGCCCCTTCCCCAGCGGGGACTTGAGCTTGGGCTTGGGAGGCACTGGAGGCTTCTCGAGTACAAAAGTGTGCCCGTCGGCAAAGGAGGTGTGGGTGTCGGTGAGTTCCCCACTCTCCGAGCTCAGGGTGGACATGCTGGACACTGTGGAAATGGTGCTTGTGGTCTCCAGGTGGGGGTCACTGGAGCTTCGAGTGTCCGCCTCCTCTACTCCAGAGTCCGCTGCAGACTCCGGGGCAGGGGGCAGCTCACTGCTGGGCTTCCCTGAGGCCGGGCTGGGTACCGTGGTGGGCAAGGGGCCCGGTCCAGGGGGTGGGGTGGCCAGCAGGATCCCATTGGCAAACTCTTCAGGGGGTGGCACGAGCCCAATGCGGGCCAGCTCCTCCCTAGTTTCTTCATCACTGGAGGACAGCTGAGCAGGTGGCAGGTTCACAGCAAATACCAGCTCCGGCTCCTCCTCTGAGCTACCTTGGCCTGGCCCGGGATCGGCGGGGATGCTGCCAGGGGGCTGGGGCTGGGCCCGGGGACTTGGCATAGGCTCTGCCACAGCCGTTGCCTGCATGGGGGCTGGGGCCAGCTCCGGGGTACCCGGGCGCTCCTCTTCAGCCCCCAGCCTGTTGGGCTCCTGTCCATTGCTGGTGGCGTGCACAACAATGAGACCAGCTGGCCGCTGCAAGGACGTGTCCAAGACGCTGAGGATCATGGATTTCTTGTCCTCTGGTGACTTCCGCTCTTCCCGAGGTGGCTTCTCGGCCTCTCTTCGAGCAGGCACGGGAATCCAGGCTGGGCTCCGAGGAGAGAAGGCTGGTGAAGCCATCGGCCCTCGCTCGGAGTCTCGGGTCTGCACATCCACAAAGAGGGGTCCAGGGCGGTCAGCATCAGGGCTGTGCACAGGTGTGGGGGACCGGGAAGGTGTCTGCGAGGCCAGAGCCCGCTCTCGGGCAGCCAGAGCAAGGGCTAGGGGTGAGCTAGGATCCAAGGGTTTGCCAGTGAGAGGGTGGATGAAGGTGGAGCCTGAGGGCCCAAGGCTGGGGCCACTGACCAATGGCTTCAGAGCAGAGACAGGGGAGGGGAGCAGCAAATCGCGGCCAGTGGGGGCGCCTGTCCCCAGGAGGCGCTCATCAATGGAGCGGGAGGGCTGCAGGGATGGCAGATCTGCGCTGGGAGGGCTGCCCTCGATGGCACCCACAGACAGGAACACAGTGGACCGGCGTCGCTCCTCCAGGCGCCGCTCCTTGCCGGGGCCGGGGCCAGGGCCGCCAAACGTGAGCCCCAGGCCTTCTCCAGAGCCGTAATCAAGGCCACCCGGCCGGGGCCCGCGGTGCGTTGGGGAGGGTTCTCGTGCAAAGCTTCCGCCCACTGGGCCCGGGCTACCCACGGCCAGGGCCGCGCGCTCCTGAGCATCCTCCACCTGAAGCTGCTTCACCAGCGGGCTCTTGCGGCGCTGGGGTTTCGATGGAGCAAAGAGGCTGGCACTGAAGGCGCCCAGGTTGGCATAGGGGCTATCAGGGCCAGACGGCCGAGGCCGGCGCTTGGGGCGCTCAGGCGGTGTAGCTGCAGGCACGGGCCGGGGGACGTCGCCCACCTCTGGCGCAGAGTCCTGCAAGATGATCATGGAGCGTGCGCGCTTCTGACGCTCCGGGTAGGGCAGCGGGCCCAGAGGCCCTCCAGAATCGTACAGACCAGCGGCCCCCGCACCCAGGCGAGCCTCCAGGCCTGGCTTGAAGCTGGAGCGCACAGTGTCGTAGGCCCGGCCCGGCGGCGGTGGCGGTGAGAATGTGGGAGGTGGCCCGGAGTCGAAGTAGTAGGGCGCGGGTGGGGGTGGTGGGGCGGTCTGCGGCGGGGGCGGAATGCCACGACCTTCACGCACCGTGTCCTGCATTGATGTGCTGCGTGGGAAGCGCCCTTCCAGTAGGGATGCCAACTTCTCATCCTCCCCTGGGGACGGAGGGGCCAGGTAAGTCTGGCAAGGATGCTGGCCATTGAAAGGCCTCTCTGGACCCCAGTGCCACTGGCTAGTCCTATCCTGCCTGCACCCGAGTGGCCACAGCCCCACCAAGGAAGATGGGGGTCAGGACCCACGGAAGGCCAAGGAAGAGAGCAAAAGCTCTGAGCAGGACACCCATGCTCTGTGCCAAATCCTGTACAGGTAGGGGGAGCTCTGTTGAAGGGTCCAGAAGGGACCCCACCCACAATGTGGAGGGCAACGTTCCTGCAGAGGAACTGGGACAGGACCCAAACTCTGACTGCCTGGACTGAGGCCAAGATCCCCCCAACCCCTGTGGGCATGGATGGAGCAGGCCATGAGAAGACACCAGGAGCGTATAGGCAGCCCGCCCCCAAAAAACTGTTGAGAGGAGGGAGGTTGGTTAGGGGGCTTCCCACGCAAGGATGAGCAAAGCAACCCAGAAACATTCACAGTGTTGAACAAGCAGGAGCCAACGGAGACCCTGATGGCAACCAGAGATGGGAAGAAAGGTGGTCAGAAAAGACACACGCACACACACCAGTACCCCCAAAATAAACCATCAATGAGGGGATGCAGGACAGTGGTAAGGGATCCATGCATCTGGAAGAAGTGGCTCTGATACCCAGGCTAGGAGGCTAGGAAATAAGCCCCACTGGATCCTTGGAAAGACTCTAGGACTGGCCTGCAGGATACTAGGAAGTATCTAAACTTTAGAGAGGCTGGCTAGGTAAATGGAAGGAGGAATAGATGGGTAAACTAAATTGGAATTGAAGGCATGTTTCAGTTTTACCCCTACGGTCTTGTGTTACCCCCAAGCCAGGGTCAAAGTCCCACTTGGGCCTGCCCTCTCATAGGCTACACTTGACTAAAAACCTAATGACACCCTCTCGTCTAGAGATGGCATCAGGTAAGAACCTTCCAGAACCTCCTGTGTCATTCCAGACATAACGTAGGCACCTGTGCAGAGTTCCACACAATGAGACTTGCAAACACTGAGTGGCCCGACCCAAGAAGGAGCAGACAGGCTTGGTAGTGACACACTACGTCCCTGGCTCTGCCAGGAGCCCACTCAGGACTAGAAAGAGTAGGTCTATTACACACTTAAGGCTTGAATTCCAGCTTCACACAAGTCACTTTTAGGACTCTGTTTCATCACAGGACCTTTCTTGCCCCTATCACAAAGGCTATTTACAGTTTACAGTTCCAGGCCCCTATCACAAGGTAACAACACCAAGAAAAGACGACTGAGGTCATCCCGGGTTATCTCAAGGTCTGCCCAGCTGGCCTCGGGCCTCCTCCTGACGCCGTTCCTACACAGCACAGGAACATGTACAGAACATTCACAAGCCTGTGTGCTAGGTGGAGCTATGTAGGAAGAACTCCCATAGACCTTAAGGTTACAGAAGGCAGGAATGACGTGTGACAATGAGAGAGGGGGTGGAATTTAATACTAATGGCTTGGTAGGCTGTGCCTGAGGGTAAAGAAAAAAAAAATCACCTGCCTCGAGCAGAAGAGGGGTCTGTTCGAGACGGCTAGAATAAAGAAAGACCTTCTCCGTCAGCCAGCCTGCAGCAGGACTGCTTCCTGGGGACTGGCTGTGTGCCCAAGACACAGACCCTGGATCAAAGGGCTGCTGTAACTACTACGGCCATGTTCAAGGAAGAGCCTGAACTTCCTGTCCTTACTGGCAGGATCCACGTGTGCAGACTAGGATCCTGGGGTTCCAAGAGTTGTATTAGATGCCCAGGGACAAGCAGCCAGATCTGAAGCGGGAGTCCCAGGAGCCTGAGAACTCAGCCAACAGTCGTGCTGGCATCTGGCAGTGTGCTAGCCTTGGGGAACTAAAGTTGAGCACCTGCTACCCCACTGGTCAGCTGTATCCAGGTGGGAGGCGCTGGTAGGCTTGCCAAAGAGCTTGAGGCCTCTGTGACAAGTACATAGGTCTGGGTCTACAGTAGTCAACTCTGGGAAAGGCCATCCAGGAAGAGTGAGGACAGACAGGCAGCGGTGAGTAGAGGAAGACTCGTGTCACAGAAAGTCAGCAACAGACACCCTAGATGAAGCAGGACAGGGCTGTTGCTCTGGGGACCCTGAGGCCACAGGAGCCCACACAGGACCAGCTGGAGGGATGCCAGGTGATAAATATGCTGCAGAAAGCCTCCTTTGCCAGAGAGATGGGCTGGAGAACAGATCCACTGCAAGAGGACATGGGGAAGACTGTGGACCCGGGACAAGACAAGCCTGCCCTGAACAGTTCTAAGACAGGTGAGGCAGGAAATCCACCACAGGATGCGCAGAACACTTGGTCTAACACAGAAAGCAGTATCTCTTGGTTCCAAAGTAACTGCAGCCTCTCACCAGCCGCCTTCCCCACTTTCCTCACGATCATCAGCCCATGAAGGACTCTCCCACACATACACCCTGACCTCCATCAGACATTTACCCCACCATCCCCAGGAAATTTCTGCATGCCTTGTTATTCTAAGTATAAATGCTAATGTTGATGTGTGTGTGGACCTCCCCAGTCAGTCTCCATTTATAAGTGCACTTTGACACCATATCATAACTGCTCAACTGACCTAACTGTAGACATGTCACCTTCCAAGTGAGACCCAGATCTAGCCTAGGGCCAGCTTATAGTAAGCAGGAATCCCAGGATGGGTAACGAGCACAGAGTTTGGAGAGCTGTTTGGCTTATGAATGGATAGGAGGTATAGGCAGAGTAGCTATGTGACTTTGAGCAAGTCATTTTAACGTTCTTTAAGCAAAATGAATAATTCAGGCCCCCTCCCCCACAATGTGGTTATGGTAGGTAGGTATTAAATGAACCAGTGTGCATATAAGCATCTCATGCCTGGCCTGTCCTTGGGCTGAGCAGGAGTTTACTCTGCTATGGAACAGATGGTGGGTGTGGTAGGGTGTCTATGGACAAATGGATGGATGGGTCAACATGTCAAGGAGACTAGATGCCCAAGAAACACGCAGTAAGCAGGGCTTGTTAGAGATCCTGGCCTGGGATTGATTAGAAGAGGCAGCCAAGTGTGGAGCGTGATGGGGGCGGCGAGGGATTGAGGAAGCTCCACAGTACGGTGGACAGAAGAAAAGGAGGCCGAGGGCACAGGCTTGAGTTGGCCTACTGTTTGGCTATGCTGAGCAAATGCAGCCGAGGAAGGAAGAGAGAGCAAGAAACTCATTCCCACGATACAAGGAGTTTCACAGAGGAAGGAGCAAAAAAAAAAAAAAAAAATGTCAATTGAGATCAGTAAAAGGAAGGAAGTCTAATAGTGTCTGCCACGGGGAATGCCCCGAGGCTCCTGATGACCCTAGCGGAGCAGCTTCAATCTAGCTGTGGAGAGACCCAGCTGCTTCAGATTTATGAGCATATGGGGAAAGAGAGCAATTACAGGTGACCTTTTGGGTCTGACCATGAAGGGACAGGGAGAGGATGCTACCTGGAGAGATGGAGCAGGTTCAAGGAGAGAGCAATTTGAGGATGGAACACTGGACCTGCACTCTGGCTGAGAGGACAGGAAATAGCTGTCCTGGTGGCAGCCGTTATCTGTGTAAGGCAGGAGTGACGGACAGGAAGAGAAGGGCTAAGGGGTGCCCACGGATGGAGAGCAGCAGACTGGGAAAAGAATCTCAAAGGTGTCTTCCCACGGCACATCTCTGAGTGGAAGAACAAACTCAGGTCCATAAACAAAACGGCACCCTTGAACTTCGCAGAGAGAGATGGGGTCCTCCAACCCTGAAGCCCCCCAACCCGAGCCCAGCCATCCCAACCCCCAGCAGTCCCTCGGCCCAGCCATACCTACAGATTTGGTCCGTGGAATCCCCTTCCGCAGAGAGCCCGGCAGCTTCTCTGGGCCCGGGAGGCCCTGGCGCTCAAACAATGACTGTGGGGTCAGGGAGGAACATGGAAGTTCCGGGGCACCGGAGCCCCCAGTTCTCCATCCAGCCCCACCCATCCTAAGCTAGACCAGACACCCACACACCAAACACCCTAAAGGCACTGGTGCCCATGCTCGGTTGGGGCCTTCATTATATGAGTGGTAAAATGAACACAGAAGTACAGGCCCTGGGCACAGTCAACAGAGACGGAGGAAGAATCCACAGTGCCAGGCGTACGAATCCACACACAGGAATATGCTGTGCCACAAGGCTCAGCAAAGCTGCCGACCTCAGTAGGTCCCAGGGTGACACAGAATCTGACTGACGTCAGAGGCACTAAAACGCTGTACCCACAGGAGTGAGCTGAACTACAACCATTCTACGAACTTGAGACGGCCCCAGACATCTCCCCAGAGAGGCCGTGGAGAGCTCCACCTCCTCCGGAGAAGGCACCCAAACAAAGAACTCTTACCTCCAAAGAGAGGCGCATGACCCTCTGATCCCCAGGCCCTGGACCTGACCATCCCAGAGCCCTGGCCCAAGGCTGGCTTACGCTGATCTCGGCAGGGGTAATCCTCCGGCTGGTGGGCCGCTGCTTGACCGTGGCTGCCCTGGAGTCAGCATCTGCAATGTCTGGCCTCAGGGTCGGTTCTGCGGCAACTGCCAGGATCTCATCCAGCTTTTCTGCACAACCAAAGAAACGCAACCTCAGCCCCAGAGCTGCCCCGGCCTCCCTGCCACACCCACCAATGCCAGCCCCTTGGCACTCATGAGCCAACCAACACTGCCCACCCCTGGGTCTCTCACTGCCTGAGGCCCTAGATCTTGTGTCCCATCAGTGTCCCCCTCAGACCCCAGGACCCGGTTCTTGAGCCAGCCGAAGTCTGTCCTTAAGAAGACCCTGGGTATCTCTGTGGCCACTGGGGAGTGACCACAATGACCAACCACAGGGAGACCAGACTCTCAGATCCATTTCCCTCAGTCCCTCACCTCCAGCGCCTTTTCTCAGCACATGGCCTATCCTCCACCACTCCCCACGGGACGCTATCTCTAGTGGGACCACACTGCTCCAGGGACAGACACGAGTGCTCAAGCAAGAGACGCTGGCTGAGTGGGTGAATAAGCTGATAACCAAGGAATGAACAGGCAGATGGGAAATACCTCCTAAGAACAAAACTCAGGCTGGGGATCTCAGTCAGAGTGGCTCAATACGAAACAGGAGGCCACAGCTCCTTCCTCCTGCCCATACAGTTCCAGTGGGATGGGAGGGAAGGAAAGAGGAGAAACAGGCGTGGTATGGAAAGGACTCTCCTCACCGACAGCCTACCCACCCCAACTCCTCAGACTTCAGCTCCATTTAAGGCTGACGCCTAAGAAGAGCTTGGTGGGAGAGACACCAGGCGGCCTCAGGCATATTCCTGTCACAGCCGTTATCAAATGAAAAAGCTTTGTGCAGTCACTTTTTATTAAAGGGACTGTTTTTGAAAAATGGGACTTTGGGGGGCTGTGCAGATGGCTTTGGTGAGTCAAGCGTTTGCTGCCCAGGCACGAAGGCCCAAGTTCGGATCCCCAGCACCCACATCAAAAGCGGAGCCTGGTAGTCCACGCCCGTCACCTCAGCACTCGGAAACAGCGACACACAGGTCCTAGGGACTCACTGGCCCCCCACACACACTCTAGTCCAAATGTAAGCTCTGGGGTCAGTGAGAGAACCTGTCCCCCAAAATAAGACAGAGAATGACTGAGGAAGATACTCAGCAGATAAGACCTCTGACCTACACACCCGCATGGACAGGTGCACGCACACACGCGCACGTACTTACATACACCACACACTCCCCTCCAAAGAAAGAAAAGTGGTACTTTCGCTTATGGGGGTGGGGGGAAAAGAGATGCAGAGAATCCAGTGTGATGGCGCACTGTGTATGACGGTTACTGTTGTCAACCTGACACAGAATTCAGAATCACCTAGGAGACAAGCCCCCAGACACACCTGTGAGGGATTATCTTGACTATGATAACTGATGTGGGAAGGTCCACCCTAAAAGTGGGTAGGACCATTTCCTGAGCTTGGGTCCCAAACTGCTTTAAAAAAAGGGGGGGGGGGACAGCCTCGCAAGAACATTCATCATCCTCTCCTTCCCGACTAAGGATGGAAAAACCCTCTAAGTGGGAGCCAAATAAATCCTTCCTTCCTCAAGCATTTTATTTCACTGTGCTTTATCCTAGCAGCAGGAAAAGCAGCTAACAAATCCCTGTAATCCCATTCTTTGGGAGGCTGAAGCAAGATTACAAGTCTGAGATCAGACTGAACTACAAGGGAAAACCATTTCAGTGAGGGAATGGGCTTCTGCAAACCTTAAAAGCACCCAAAGGCTGTCTGAGATGCAGTTACCTAACTCCGACCTGGAGTCCACTCAGGGGCGGCGTTCAAGCGTCCACTGGAGGTTAGGGCCCATGCTTTTACGTGCATGTCCTCACTCAGCAGCCCCAGGCTCCACCTGTCCCCCAGACTGTATTTAACTCTTGAAGTGTGGACCCACCTTCAGGGGACACTTGTCTTAGAAACCCTCCTACTCTCAAAGTCCCATGGCTGGAGAACTCCTATGGTCAAGTCTGAACATCCATTCCTTCCCAACCCAACCCCCAGCTGCTCACCAGCATCTGCTGTTCCTATCTCATTTCTCAGTTGCTGTGTAGAAGTAAATTAACTCCCGAGGCGATCTCACCAAGTAGCATATTGAGGACCCCCCCCCTCCTTGCACACTGATTCTGTTCAGATGTATACCCTCTGAGACCCAAGTCCTTCACCTAACAAAACAGTCATAGACGACATCTATGTGGCATGGCTCTAGGGAAAATGAGCACACAGGAGCCCACAACCACTCTAGCCAATGCAGGACCACCCTGGCCAGTGCAGATGCTGAAGGCACCAGCCAGGACATTTACCTTATCTTCATCAACCATTTGTGGATTCCTCATACTCTGCCCCTTTGGAGCCCTAAACAACACAGTACTTTGCCAGCAAAACATGCTCCCACTGTAGAGAAATTTGTAGGGCCCAAGCATGGCTTCCAGTACCACCAGGTAACAGTACAGAGACGACAAATGAACAACTTCCTTTTGAAATGTGGGATCCCTACCCTGGCCAAGTCCTTGGTGATATACAGTATGTGCCAGGTTTTACATGACTACCACAGGAACCACCTCAAGATCCTATCATCATCCTCCTGTTTCCCAGGAGCAAAATGATGCACAAAGAGCTCTATCCCAGATCGCAGATCCTTGCTGCGACACCATTCAGAAACTGCAGGAGTAAAGACATAAGGAGAAAGAGAAGTCCATGACACCGTGGTGACAGGTCTCCTACCAAGGCACACTGTCACCTGAGCCATGGACTTAGAGAAGGTGTCAACAGAACCTTGCTCCAAGAGATCCAAGCAGTGTGCACACAGTTTAGCAAAGCAGCTGTTTAGGGTTACATGGCAATAGCACTGAGGCCAAGCAAGAATTGTTTCCAAGAGGAAGGAGTCAAGAATTCTACATATGAAAAGTTGAACACTTCTTCCCAACATAACAACAAGGTTAGGAAACATAACCCTAAATTATTTTAGATATTTAAAAAAATGAAATAAAATCCCTTAGGAACCAAGTGTTGTCATTTCCACCAGCCTTCCAAGGGGCTAGCCATCTGGGTTCAGGGCAAAGTATGTTGGGGATCCAAGCAGGGATGAAAAGAAGGGTCTGTGGAAGCGACAAACCAGCCATTTCCCCCACAGCTGGAAGAAGGGCATGACCACAGCCTAGCATCCTGGTAGCCCTACTATCAAGGAACTAGAATGCAGATCTTAGCAAAAGGAGATTGGGTCGGGGGTGGGGGGGGGGAGAACTAGGGAATCCATGGCTGATATGTAAAATTAAATTAAATTATAAAATAAAATTTAAAAATGGCCTTACAACAAACAACAACAACAACAAAAAAAGGAGATTGGGGGTGGGGGTGGGATCTACTGGTCAGATGCTGAAAACCAGAGACCAGGCAAGGCCCAGTGCATCAGAAGTAAGAGGGGGAAGGGATGCGGGATGCACAAATCCACACACCCTGGGCTATGAGCCTTCTAAGCCTGACTCCCATCCACTCAAGAGGCAGAGGGAGCAGTAGAAGCCAGGGAAAACTCCCCCAGATGCCGGACCTCAGTACCCAGTCTAGGCCCTAATGTCTCTAGCCCCACATGGACCCTGTGTCCCTGATGCCATGCTGGACATGAAAGCCACATGAGAAAGAGCCTCCAAGGACACCGGGGTGGAACCAGTGAAGTCAATAGCCTGGGGGCAGGAGTGTTTCTGAGCAGGGGAATCCAGCTCCCTTCCCAATGCTAGCAGATTAAATAAATCCCTATTCTGAAGCAGCTCTGCTCTGTGCTCAATCCTCCAACTCATCAGTATGAAGTTGGCTTAGGCAAAGAAAAGGACAAAAGATACAGAACAAGGCAGAGCCTAAAACCCTAACACCCCCATCCCAACACAGCCTTGGTACCCGGCTGCCCTAAGCTCCGTGGCCTGACCCTCAGAGACCCTCCCCTCCCCTCCCCTGGGCCATGACATTTGCAGGGGCCCCCACCAGGAATTCCCCCACCTTCTCCCCACCAGGCTATCTCCATAGGTCACATCCCCAAGCTCACCTGAACCCACTGGGACTATGGTTGTACTCCCTATTAATCCCAGGGAGACCCCTGGGAATGCCCCATCCATCCTTCACCCAGGCAGGGACCAGAGAGAGTGCCAGATTCCAAACCACTCTGACTTGGACTGAAGCCTCATCACACACCAGTACCAGTCAGTGCCCCTTGGTAAGGACAGGCAAGCCAGGCCTAAAAACACAGCAGAAGACTTACCCCCTTTCCTTCTCCGAATGGAAGCTTGGAATTGAGAAACAGAGCAGAGCAGGTAAGAAGAAGGCTTTATTGATTCCATGGCACCTGGGCCATCTGCACAATGGTTTCCCCACCCCCACCTCCCAACCACCAGGCCTTCATAGGTCTGTCCCCCATCTATACCTCCTCCTCCTTAAACCAGGAGCACAAGCCTACCAATGCTCTAAAACTCTAGAAGAGAACAAGCCAAAGCAGGAATACACGCTGCGTGGACATGCACACTCACACACATGCACACATACACACACACACACAGGTGCACACATGCATGCACGAAGAGGTGCACAATTAAACTGCACTTGGAGCAGCCAAATGTTTGTTCAGAACGAAGACACAGAACTACGAAAATGAAGTTCAGAGTCTGCTCTTCACCAAAGTGGTCGCCTATGAGTACATTCTGTACTGACATTTTGGTTGGGTTTTGTTTTTGGTTTTTTTGGTTTTTTGTTTGTTTGGTTGGTTTGGTTTGGTTTGGTTTTGGTTTTGGTTTTTGCAGTCCTGTAGATGGAACGCAGGGCCTTGAACATGCCAGGTAAGCACTCCACTACTGATACACACCTTCATGTTCCAACGCAGATTTCTAGCGGCAGGCAGATGTAAACAGCAAAGCAAGCAGTACATATTTGGTAAAGGGATCTTTTCTGGACTAAGGCAGTACCAGAGACCTACCCTGACCTCATCACAAAAGAAAGACCCAGAAATTAAAGGACATCGTCAGTTTGCCTAAATAAATGAACAGGAACTGTCTGACCACATTAGGGTCCTGATGTGGGTCCCCATTAACCCACATCCCTGATTCACGCTGAGCATATATGTACATGGTAAAGGAACCCCAGACCAGAATGAGAGTGGAAAGGGGGTTATCTAAGCTTCTTCCCTCCCCACCCCACCCCCGCCCCCGACTCTTACGAACAACCCTTCTCTTTTTGAGACAGGATCCTGCTGCACAGGCCAGGCTGACCTTGAACTCACTCTGTAGCCCACACAGGCCTGGAACTCACAGCAATCCTCCTGCCTGGACCTCCTGATTGACAGGTAGAGTTCTCCCACTGATTTCTGCCAGCCACCACCACCACTTTCGTTTTATTTAATTCATTTTTTAATTTTGGATCAGCCTCTGCTCACTCCATCAGTTCCCAGGAACTCATCCCTCTTCTTCCTCCTGCACCGCCTTGCCTTACCCTCTACACAGCACGAGCTTCCACCTCTGCGCCCACATCCCCCTCACCTCACAGTTTTTCCCTTTCCCGGTGTTCGGGTCATCTTTTTGACAAACATGGCTCCCTAAAGGGTTCCATCAAGTGAGTGGCAAGATAGGCATGTTTCTAACAGTGGTGACTCAACATGTCTTATTTCTACCTTTTGAAAACACAAGCGGCCAGGCGGTGGTGGTACACGCCTTTAATTCCAGCACTGGGGAGGCAGAGCCAGATGGATCTCTGCAAGTTCGAGGCCAGCCTGGTCTACAGAGCAAGATCCAGGACAGGCATCAAAACAACACAGAGAAACCCTGTCTTACACACACACACACACACACACACACACACACACACACAAGCAAATCATCCAGGTATATAATCCCAGAACTCAGGAGGCATGGGCAATTAATTCAACAGCAGCCTGGGCTATGGAATGACCCTGTCTCAAACGAACAAAAAGAACAAACACTGGATTGTGGGGTGTCCTGCTAGGTACTTGGAGAACTCTATGTTGGCCTGGCTTCTTCAAACCAGGCATTCCCAGAAGGACCAGGTCACCTCCTAAGACAGGTGTCTTTGAGTCAGGGCAGCTCACTGGGCCCCTGACTGCTGGGTCTTTCTCTAAACACAGCCCCATTTTGAACCTGGTTCCAGTTTCAATAACTCTGATCCTGGGCCCAGAAAGGTAGGCAGAGGCTCCTGCTGAACTAACCCCACAGCCCTTTCAGACTACTCAGAAATATGATGCCCTAGTCTTGTGGCCCATCAAGGTCTATAATGTAACAGGAGTGAGCCTCTCCCAAAGCTTCTGGAGCAGAAGGGAAGAAGACTCAACTCTCCGGCTCCCATTTCTACTCTCACAGGGATGCCCCTCGGTTCCTGGAGTGCAGAGTTCAGGATGATTAACACCGCCTTGTGCAAAGTCCGAAGGGCCTTTCTGACCTGGCTATGGGACTGCTTCTCGTAAGAGACTCCAGGGCCATGCATTAGCGTCCAATCAGCCCCAGCTGTCTACTCATATTGGTGTATTGATCCATGTCACAGGTCTGTTCTCTGATACTAATAGGTTAGGTTAGACCCTAAGGCCAGAAGTCCGCTGGTGCCTCTGCTCAGTCTAGTCAACAAGTTTGGCTAGTGTAACTAGTTGGGAAAGTATCTGCACCCCACTTTTCACCATCCCTTCTATCATAACTGAGGAAAGACTAAAAGCAAACCATCACTCATTTCCAAGCCAACTGGCTCCCTCTGCTGGCTCTGGTAAGATTTTTCTGCTTTTCTATGGTATTCTAAAGTTTCACTCTGACAAACCATATTTATTTGTGACATACTTCTTCAGAATGAAGTCTTATACTTCTGTTGACTTTGGGGAAATCCTTAGCCTTTCTATTATTTTCCTGTCAAGTAGATGTTTGAGGTCTCCTCGCTTGTCCTCATGTCCCCTAACTGGTCCTTGGTGTCTACCTCACCTGCTTCCTAAGCTGATTCTGGGTAGGCTCAGACTGAACTTCTTACTCACTGCTATGTTTTTTAGTGAGTGCTGGATACTGTGTATCCAAGCCACAGACTCTTCTCATTTGTAGCTTTTGTTTGTTTGTTTGTATCAATAAGTTAAAGATTCCCAAACATGCTTATTATTGTTATTCCTCTTATCCTGTTAATTTCATTAATTCTGTTAGTTTTCTTGCCTGTATAGTAACGTAAACTTTTTTCTTTTCTCTCATATTTTTTTTTTTTTTTTTTGGTTTTTCGAGACAGGGTTTCTCTGTGTAGCTTTGCCTGGAACTCGCTTTGGAGACTAGGCTGGCCTCGAACTCACAGAGATCCGCCTGCCTCTGCCTCCCAAGTGCTGGGATTAAAGGCGTGTGCCACCACCGCCCCGCTACTCTCATACTCTTATCTCCAGTTCTTTTTAAATTTTTTTTTAGATTTTATCTATTTTGAGTGTAGATGTGTGTGTGTGTGTGTGTGTGTGTGTGTGTGTGTGTGTGTCCCCGCCACATTCATGCCTGATGCCCTCTCCCCACTCCCGAGGTCAAATGGGTTGGATCCACTAGAACTGGAGCTACCAATGGTGATGAGCCACTATGTGGGTGCTGAGAACCAAACCTGGGTCCTCTGCAAGAGCAACAAACACTCTTAAATACTAAGCCATCACTCCAGCCCCTCCAGTTCATTTTATGCTAATCCCAATTATGCTAATTGCCTGTGGGAAAGTCTCTGGCTTTCACAAGTCCACAGCACATATTCTAGCCTTGTTGAGAACTTACATCAGGAGTTGGAAGCTCCAGTTTCCAATTCCTTTGGCTTTGATTTCCTGCTTTATTTCTGAAACAAGAGGAGTCCGCCTCCTTCACACTATCTGTAGTTTTTATTTATTTTACTCAGAGTTTGATCATGGGAAATCTTGATCATGTCAGCCCCTTCTATCTTGGTAACTGTTTTCCAAACTTCAGTCAAGGCACCTGCTTGGAATGTGGCAGCTCAGCCTATGGCTGGGACCTGGCCAGCACTCAGTCTATAAACAAAGACAGGGATAGTTCTGGGAGCCAGAATAAGGGTTTCCTTTTATGACTGAAGCCAGAGGAAAGTCTGGGATTGAGACTAGGCTCAAACCACAGAAGCAAAGAGTGTTTCAATCAGTCACATGTGTTGGAATATACCTACCATGGAACTCTTAACCCATAACCACCCACAGTAAGGCTCTTAACAGTCAAAATATATTAGCACATGCCCACAATGACAATAGAATCACATACATCAGCACATGCCTAGGATGAGACTGGGAACAGTCCTATGTGTCAAGATGTGATCATGCATATAGGACATACCTATGACGAGGCTGGTAAATGTCACATGTCAGGACATGGCTGTGAATATGAGACATGTCCATGACAAGGTTAACTGGCATATGTGTCAAGATACGGTCACGCATACGAGACATGCCCATGACAAGGCTGGTAACTGCTACACCTGTCAAGACGTGGTGGTCATGTACATGGGACATGTCCATGGTAAGTTTGGCTAACTTTTACACATGTCAGAACATTGTAGTCATGTACATGAGACATGCCTAAAACCAGGCTGGCAACTGCCACACATGTGCACATGCAAACAGGATGTGCTATGCATATGGAACATGGCCATGATAAAGCTGGTAACTGTCGTATGTCAGGACAGGGTCGTGTATATCAATCAGGACATGCCCACAATGAGGCTGTCTGAAGTCAACCCAGGTCTGTATCCGTCAGAGCCTAACATACTTTGGTCCGCCTCCCTCCCGCCATTCACCAGGCCCCGTCCCTCACGGAGTTAGAGGTGCTCACACTGCCTCTGTTAGGTCAGTAGACTCGGCAGATAAGTGAACAGGTACCAACCGAGCGAAACAAACACAAAACATGACCCAGCTCGTGCCAGTCAGACCCAGGAGCCCCTACCACTGCTCTTTGCCAGCTAGGTTGAAATGCAAGAGCGAAGTCTTAGTGGAAAAGCACAGAACCAGGGAAAGCACTCACACACATGCATGCGGGCATGCTCCAGGGCCAGACCTTGTTCCCCTGCCATCTGCCCTGCTTGTCCCTGCCCAACTCCAGCTCCTCAGGCTGCCCCGAGCCCTCTTCCCTCCACTGGCTCTCTCATTCCTCACCCTCACCACACAGGTACCCAATCTCCCCAGCACTCCGGTCCGTACCCCGAACTGCTGACCTGTCTCCTCAACCATCTGTTCCTCCTTCTGTCTCTACCTGGCCTTAGCCCCGGCTCGGTACCACTGCCCTCCCGAACTGCCTGTGTCCATCCCTCTTTGGCCAGCCCGATGTAGACCGCCCGTCCACCCGCCGTCCACCCGCGAGGCTCACCAAGTTCCTCCAGCTCGGCCGTCATGGACTTGGAGCGCAGGGTCAGCGTGGTGCTGGGGGCCCTCTTGGGGGGCGGTGGGGCTGCAAAGAAGAGGGAGGCCTTGGCCCTCCTGTCCAGCAGCAGGCGGCGCGGCGTGGCCAGGTGCAAATGCCACTTGCGCTCCACTGCCTGGATTTCCTCGTACTCCCTTGAAGACGAGTCACACTGTGCCAAGATCTTGTTCAGGCTGCGGCTAGATGCAAACTTCTTCATGGCGTGAGGAGCTCAGGGAGCAGTAGAGCCAGGGCAGCTGGGCCCCTAGGGCCCTTAAGACTCCCCGGGGGCCAAGGCCTCACACGGTAGCAAGAGCACCAGCAGAGGTTAGGATGCTGGCTGGCACTGATCTGAGCATCCACCCTGCGGGCTCCAAGGCCCCAGTGAGTGGGCACCACCCATGGGGGGCTGGGTGGATCTCCTGGCAGACTATCTCCTGCTGCCTGAAGCACCCAAGGCCCAGGGACCACTGCTATTTACGAGCCCCACAGCGTGGCCTGGCTAGCGGCACACCTGGGCTGGGCCAGCGGCAGAGCCTCTTAGGCCCAGGCTGTGCCGCGTCTTTGGCGTCGGCGCGGGGAGAAGACGCTTTTCCTCTTCCCTCAGGTGCCGCCTCCCCCTTCCCTGCACAATAAAGCAGCAGCAGCAGCAGCAGCAGCGTCAACCTCACAGTTGCCATGACAACCCGGCCTCCAGGCAGCTGCTGGCGTCGGGAAGGAGGGCTCTGCCACACCAGGGCTGGGGGGGATTCACAGAAGAAGGGGACGTGGATCTGAGGAAGGGGGCACCTAGGATCAGGGGTCAGAGGCCTGGTCAGGTCAAGGGGTCAGGCATCTAACACCACCACAGACCTGTGCAGCAAATAAGGGCAGGAGTGTGATGTCAGCGGTACAGGGTCAGAGATGAGGAGAGGGAGGTGGGCCTGAAGTCCAAGGTCGCGGGCCAAGTACCAAGGGTTAGAACCTGGAAGGCAGCAATCTGAGCCCTCACCTCTGCGCCGGGCACCATCCTCTTCCGGTTTCCTGGTCACGGACACCACTTTCATGACCAGGCGGTTGCCACCCTGGCGGATGAGACCCACTACTTGCTTGTGTCCCACCTTCACGACATTCACTCCGTTCACCTGGGACAGAGAAGCAGCTGGGTAGTACGGGCCGCCCGCGTGTAAGGGAGCTCAAGAGTTAGGAACCCCCTCCCCTCCGGCTGAGCAGGGACAGGATGGGCCTCACCTCAATGAGGAAGTCCCCAGTTCGAAGCCCAGCCCTCCAGGCCACACCTTCCACATCTACAGACTCAAGGTACTGGAGTGCAGGGAAGGCAGGTGTGGGTGTAAACTCCTCAATGGGGGTCTCTGCTGCAAGGAGAGCGAGATAAAAAAAAAAGGCACTCACAAGCCTAGATCCTGTCAGAGAGCCCGGCAAAGCAACCTCAGCCGGCTCAAGGCACCTGACTTCGAAGGCATAGAAATCTGCTTTGGGGGTGGGCAGCCGACGGGGATACCCAAGCAGTGTGCATGCCTCTGTGAAGTCCCCCATTCACCCTCACCCAAAAGATCTCAATTCTGCTAGACTCCCCACAAGGGAACGGGAGCCAAGAAAGAGGGGGACCTGCTGCCTTGTCCTGGGACATTCCACACCAAGACATACAACCACAGTGGGGGAGGGGAGGCTTTAAAAAAGGCGGAAAGGGGCCCGAGGCAGAGCACAGAGGACATCCCCCCACGACGCAGTATCCCCCTCATGAAACCCACACCCATTACCTTTGGCTCCCCGGAGAACGAAGCCAAAACCCTCATGGTCCCGTTTCTGCAGGATGGCCACCTTGTCATCAATGACGTAATCACTGAGAGAGGAGAGCAAGGCTGAGGGGGGGGGGGGGGTGTGCAGGGAGCCTAGCAGACAGCCAGGCTGACCCTCCTGGGTAGCTAACCACCCACTCCCTGCCCACCTCCCACCTCCCCAGACCCTTTCAGTGGACACACGAGGCCCAGCTAGTGTCCCTGTGTGTTCAAACCCCGCCAATACCTGTGTGAAGTGAGGCTGTCATAGGAACCCACAGTGTAGTGGCGGAAGAGGCGCTTCGTCCGGTCCTCTCGGGTTTCTAGAGGGAGCATCAAGGACCAAGAAAGGGTCATACAGCCTCCACCCAGCTGACTTTCCCCCAAACTGTGCTGATGGGTCTGTGTCCCCATGCACTCTGAAGCAGAGATGTAAGGGGCGAGGGGGGTGGGGGGCAAATCCCGGGGCCCCAGGGCCAAAAGTCCTAAGGTAGGAAGGTTCAGATAACCATACAGGCAATTCTGGCCTCTGGGAGTTAGGGCCCCAGGGGAAAGCAGCCCCCCACCCCTTACCTGACATGCCGCTAGACACAGAAACCCATACAAGGCCAGACTGTTCCAGTTAGCAAGCCTCAGAGCTGAGAGAGGACATGTATGTGTACCTCACAGTAAAGTACGAACGCTGTGTTGGTGCTCACGTGTGCCTGTGACCCATCCACACTGTGAAAGTGAGAGCCATATCGCCTGTTATCCGTACGTGACTCCAGGCGTTAGTAACAAACATGTGTCTGTATAACCCGTATATGCAAGTGTTGGCTTCAGGCACACGCATGTGTCCATCGGCCTATGTGCTCCAGTGTGGCGGCATCCCAGTGTGTCTACTAGCTTCCTCACAACAGCGAGATACACAAACGCGAGGAATGAGGAACGGAATTACAGAAGGCTCTGTCCCCTGACTTCACTGTATTCCACAGAAACGCATTAATAATTAATAACTCTAATAACTATGTTAGAATCACTGTATCCCATAGAACTATTCCATAGGCTATATCAATATATGTCCTTTGATCTCAAAGTTCTTCGAGGCCACTATGGAGCTGGTCAGGACATACCTCCTGCTGAACCTCCCTTAGCCTTGCAGATGTCCTGAAGGGTTCCAATCTTCAGCCAGACCTCAAGGTTCACAACGGCAACGCCACCTCCACTTGCAGTGCCTCAGAAGGCCTCAAGGTGGCGCCACCACTGTTTTCAATTTCCTCCCTCAGCACCTCCCTCCTTCACTCTCTGGCCATAGCACTTCTCCAGACTCAATTTTTTACTTCAACAACCATGCATGCGCTAAGCTTCTACTATATACCAGGCACTGTTTATTTTAGGACAGAGCAAAGTCTCCGCCTTTGAGGAGTTAATAAGCTACTCTAGGAGCTGGAACAAACAAGCAAGAAACACCTAACGCGAGCTAACAGGAGAAAAGCAAGCAGGAAAGGGATGCAAAAGTACAGTTCTCAGGATAGCGAAGGCCCCAGCAGAAAGAAGAGCTGAGCAAAGGTCCAGACAGACGAGGGAGCAGCCTGTAGATGGGAGGGTGCAGGGCTTCTGTGGGTGAGGCAGTCAGGGAAAAGATCATGTAAATGGCATTTAGTGTGGAGCACGCAGGAGCGGTGTGGAGTCGATGTAGCAGGAGCAGAGGGGGAATAACTGATAGAAAATGAGATCAGAGCCAGGTGGCAGTGGCGCACGCCTTTAATCCCAGCACTCGGGAGGCAGAGCCAGGCGGATCTCTGAGTTCGAGGCCAGCCTGGTCTACAGAGCGAGATCCAGGACAGTCACCAAAACTACACAGAGAAACCCTGTCTTGAAAAACCAAAAAGAAAATAAGATCAGAGGGAACCGCGGAGTTTTTGAGTTAGGTTCTCTATTGTTTGGGGTTTTTAAGAGGTTTTTATTTGTTTTGACTTTATGTGTTTCCCTGCTTGTCTATGTGTGTACCACGTGTATGTCTGGTGCACTCAGAGGCCTGAAGAGGGAGCTGGATCCCCTGGGGTTATAGATAACTATGTGGGGTGGGTGCTGGGTTCCAGAGTCCTACAGCACCTGTTTTGATTTTTTTTTTTTTTTTGAAACAAGATCTTGCTACATATAGCCTGAGCCTTAAACTCAGGAATATCTTAGTTTTCTGCACGCTAGGATTACAGGCATGTGCCACCATACTCAGCAAAAATATACAGTTTTTTTTTTATGACCTGTCTTCTCAGTAACTTTGAACTCTTTTTGTTTGTTTATTTGGTTGGTTGGTTTGGTTTGTTTTGGGGGGTTTTGTTTTGTTTTTTGAGAGGGTTTCTCTGTGTAGTTTTGGTGTCTGTCCTGGATCTCGCTCTGTAGACCAGGCTGGCCTCGAACTCAGAGATCCACCTGACTCTGCCTCCCGAATGCTGGTATTACAGGTGTGTGCCAACACCACCCAGCAACTATGAACTCTTTAAAGCAATCGATGAGATGTAATTACCCCTGGGGTCCCAAGTGCTCAATGCAGCACCTGGCATATATAATAAATTGAACACAACTGGCAAGGTGAGTGGGTGAGGGTATGATGCATGGACAAACGGATGAATGAGACATAAGATAATGCAAAAAGGGTGCGTATGAATGGATGGGTTGATGAAGGCTTAAGGGAATATATGGATGGGTCAAAGGGTAGATAGATATGTGAGTGAATGGATGGATGGATGGATGGATGGATGGATGGACGGACGGACGGACAGGTGGGTAGGTGGGTGGGTAGGTGGGTGGATGGATGGGTGGATAGATGGATGGATGAATGGATGGATGGATGGATGGACAGCCAGACAGATGGACAGGTGGATGGATGGATAGATGGATAAATGGATGGATGGGTGGGTGAGTGGGTGGATGGGTGGGATATGTGGATGGAGAAAGGGGGAGCTGGGTGGGCTGGGTAGGTTGCTGGATAAATAGGTGGTTAGATGAATGAGTAATTGAGCTACAAGACAGTTAGTTGGTCACAGACACGAGTGGAGCAAAGGTTGGATGACCGTCGTCACATCAAATGACATGGCTGTCGAGAAAAGGACTAGTCCGGACTTCAGGTCCCTGCCACTATGTGTGAGACTCAATAAGTGACCTGCCACATCTGAACCTCTCTGTACACAGCAGGGCAAGCCACACGGGAAGATCCTGGGTTCTAATGGCCTGTCAGACGCTAGCCACATCAGCTCGCTTACTTACTCCTTCCCACCTGCCCCACTCTAAGTGACGAACATACACCTGTTCCCAAGACCAGTGCAGGGGAAGCCTTACCATCAAGCAAGGAGGGCCTCAGATTCCTCCTCACCTCCATCACATCCTCCCTTCAAGCTGGTCACATACATGCTATGCTAGCTGAACCGTGTCTGGAAGCCCTGCGATTGACAGGAAAGCCTTTGGTTCCATCACTCTCACACCAGCTCCTCGGTGGCCGGCACCCTCCTCTGTGACCTTGGTGAACCCTACCCACCTCTCTGCTCTACCCTACACCCAGATCGTAACCCTGACCCTAAAAGATATGCAGCCGTGAAGCAGCCCTATCCTGGTCAGCTCCTATTACAACGCCTCCTGTTTGGTACATGCTCATCAACCAAACAAACAATTTATTATGTAACACAAATTCATGGTCTGGTTTATTAATCACACACGGGAAAGCCAGCTGAAAGGAATATGCCCGGCACCAGCTCCCAAGTGGAACATTCTGGAAAGGAGAAGGTAGACAGCATGGGAAGGTGTGTTAGGCCTGGAGATCCTTGCACTCACTGGCCTCAGCATTTCCTACCCTCAGCATTCCTCAAAGGTTGAGGAAGCTGCTTCCTCAACCTGTCACAGTGCTCCAGGAGGCTAATCTTTGCTGCTCAGTTAATGGCCAGGACCCATGTCCTACCGGATGCTGACCTAACCTAGGTACCTCAGCACAGCTTCTCTCCTTGGTCTTTCAAAGTCCTCCTTCACTCCCTCTCTGGAATTCGAGTTTGGGGTTGGGGGTGAGGGGCTGTTGGAAACAGGTTCCTGTTGCTAGGATGCCCTCTGCTCTCTGGCACAAGTCAGCCTAAATCCCAGACAAGGAGTTCTGCCCAGACCAGCAAAATGGGCATTGTAACTGAGATCAGAGAGAAGCCATGACTACCACCTCCCAAAAGACAGCCAAAGCAAGGCCCACGAACGCGGCTCCCATCCACCTAGGTACTTGGGAATCCCGCTCCCTCATATCATCTGTGATGGCTGCGGCCCTGCTAAGGAGTCCTGTGCTTGCTAGAAAGCCCCCAGATTTATCACTCCCCTTGTGAACCCCTCCTTTCTCTGTGACCTTGACACACCCTACTCACCGCTCTGCCTTGCCCAGATCTTGATCTTGACCCTAAACCATCTGCTCAGTCAGTTCCTACTGCAAGATTATGCTTTACCTTGACCCCAAGGACAGGTGACTAGACTCATGTTCCCCACTCCACCTGTGCCATTCCTCACAAAGCTAACTGCTCGTGCAGCAAAATAAAATACATACATACATACATACATACATACATACAGTTGAACATCCCTGCCCCTTGTGGTTAATGACACCCCAGAAACACACTAACCACGGGCCCCACCTCCCAGGATTGCTAGGATAGGTCCACCACTTCATTCATATAAAAATGCTAAAATCATGTCTGGCACCGCTCAGATACGGAAGTTGGAACGGGCACAGTTCTAAAAGGCTGTGCTGGATTCCTATAAACATGGGGGGGGGGGTTGGCATATGCAAACTACCCAGAGAATTCAGCCTAAACAACACCTCTGCTTTGAAGCCCTCCTTGGCTTCCTCAGGCTAACTGGATCTCCCACTGTCTATGGTCTATGCACCCGGGAGGGGTTGCAGACACACACCAGGAGACACACACACACACACACACACACACACACACACACACACACGCGCGCGCGCGCGCGCGGAGAGACACGGACTGACACTTGCCATCACCACTGGCAGCCAGCACAAGCTGACAAACATCTGCCCCCTTCGGAGTCTGACTCCAACGCTCCCTCCTGAACTTCAAACCAAATGCCCCTGGAGCCAGAGTTCTCACAGCCTTATCCTCCCCCCCTCCCATGGCAAAGCACAGGACTAGCTCCTATTCAACAGGTACACTGTCCCCATCCCTAGCCCCCTGCTCTGTCCTGTGGGAACTAGGGCCCAAAGCTCTGAAGTCATGTTCACCTGGATCTCACTGCATCGACTCTCCACAGGCCATGAATAAGTGAGACTATCCCCTTCCAGACTCCCAGTCACTAGTAAAGCCATCGAGGCAGGGCAGGGAGGGATAAGCCACATAAGAAAGCAAGGCACCCAGCCGGCAGCAGGGCATACACTGAGCTCCCGTATAACCTAGGCCTCCATCAAGCTTGACACAGAGCCAAGGTTCCTGGCCACACAGTTGTGGGCTCCCCTGGAAATCTGCCAACTTAAGGCAGAGGCCACCACGACCCAGGGCCCAAACCCTGTATGTACAGAGAAAGGGACATGTGTCCGCTGATCCAGACATACCCCTGATAATCACCCCGGGCCACCACTCAGGAGGAGTTAATTGCCATATTCACTCTCTGGACTGGAAATAATATCATTGATCTTGTGGCCTCCCAGGATACCAGAGGGCTCAATGAAGGGGGATACCCTAGATACGTAACCAGCCCACACGGGGGCTCCAGAGGACCAGCCACTGTTTTCCCCAGCACCCGAAGGAATCCTTCCTAGAAGTCCAAGCGTTCAGCAAGATTGGACCACAGCTGTTCAGCAGCCCCAGGAGCGTACGTACCCCTCACCTTCACGTTTCTGTAAGAACAGGGGCCATCCTTCATCAGCTAGCTGCCCTCAGACCGTATCAACCCCAGGGTACCCCGAACCACTCCATGGAGCCCAACTGGCCTCATTTCCTCTTAGCCGGTCCAGGCCTCCTGCTCTGCCCACTTGGACAATCTGTCCACTTTGGAAAAACGCCTCTTTTCTCACATTGACCTCCTTACTTTATCTACCAGCCGCTCATGAACTAGGAGCTCCAAGAACCTGGTATCTCCGTGAAGACTCTGCCAGAGGGGTGGTCACCATCCCTGGAGACTCACATGCCCACATACAGACAGAGGATGGCCATGAGTGTGTACCTCCTGTTGGCACGGCCAAGGTTCTCCACTGTTTAGAACATGTCGGGGTCACACATTCATGTTCCTAGGGACATGTACGCTTACCCACGGTGTGTATGTACAGATCTGTATAAACATCTTGAGTGTAATTGAGTTTACTCCACACAGTCTTAGTGAACGTCCAGACTTGTTACCAAGAAGACCAAAGGGAAAATCGAAGCATATGCCCTTTGGGGGCCACCTGGGCAAAACGGGGGGTCACTTACCATGCCGTGTATCATACTGTCGCATCTGCACTTCCTCCACACAGTCAGCTGGGAACCAGCCAGTGCGGCCCTTCACGGTTCCCTCCCAGAATCCGCCCTCCCCAATGCTGAGCACTAGGAAGAGAAGCCAGACAGGTTGTCAGGGCAAAGCAGAGCTGTGGGGTACCCGCTTCCCTGCCCACCTGAGGCTCTGGGGGGGCCCCCAACCCCAACCCCTGCTCTCTTCCCAAGCCCACATCCTCCTAGCATTTTTCCCTGGGAAGATTCTGTGATCCACACAGCAGAGAGAATTGAACAGATGGCCTCAGTCAAGGCTGGACATGTGGGAGACAGACAGACACAGATGGACACACTTGAAGAGGACAGAGGCAGAAGCAGGGGCCACGCTCCTGCTCCTGCCCACCGTGACCACGTCCCCCAACCAGGGTAACTGACATCCACCCAAGAGTCACGACCAAGAGCTCAGGGTCATCGGGAGGCAGCCAGTGGAGTAAGCCACATGATGTACCAGGAGGGCTGATCTTCACAACTACTTCCACCTCAGAGGCAGAGTGCCCAAGGTAGGAACCCAATAAAGACAGAGAGCCCCATGAGGAGAGGGGCTCGTCTCCCCCAAACAGGCAGCGTCCATGGAAGAAATGTGCACTGTACACAGACAAGCACAACTGTTACAGATCCCCTGTAGGTGGCAAGCCCCCTTCACCTGTATCCCAAGGATTTCCAATGAAGAAGCCCCAGAGTGACACAGGAACCCCACTTGGCGTGGGAGCTCTGTAATGGGTTAGGGTCCTTCCAACACAAGGACCCAGTTGGCGTTGGCCCCCATCATAACAAGAACCGCCCCAAGAGAGCCAAGCCTCTAACCATGACAGAGCTAGAGCTTCATGCCAGGAGCCCATAAAACCAGGGCCAGAGACAGCGACCCCGGCACAGCAGCTCGCTGTCATGACCCGGGGACACCCCAACCACAGAGACCCCCCAAACGGCATGAAACAGGCCGCCTGCCCCGGGGCCCGCCCCCCAGCCCGCTCGCGCCCCTCACCCCGCCCGCGCCCCTCACCCTTCACGGCCTCGCCGCGGTGCAGCGGGATCTCGCCCTCG